ATCTCAATTCACAAACCTTTGGTTAGTATCTTTTACGCTTTGAGGTTATTAAGCTTTTGGTTTCAATTAGGTTGATTTACCAACATATTTTTATAGTAGCTAAAAATGAAAATATCAATCCGTTGGTTTGATATATTTTAAGTTAAAAAACGTTGACAATTAGAGAGAACAATACTCTTCACTTGAGATCAATAGGTCTCGAGTTCAAGTCATACTACAGGTAAGTGGGAAACGAAGGAGAGAGAAGAAAAAAAAAACAATAATAGCAATACTTTTGCCCAACCAAAGTCGATCATAAATCAATATTCATCAAATAAAACATCGCATAATCTAGTAATTCCATACAATCTCATAATTTTACATATCATTTGAAATGCATAATACCATACAATGACTTCAAGAGAACCACCCTTTATGCTGTATTAAGATCATTGAACCTGAAATCACATTATATGGAATCACCAGCAATCAAATACTAAATTCAGCACATGAAGAGATCCATGATTGGCTGGTTCATGTGGACCATGCTCCAATTAGAGCTCAACACATCATCAAACCCACCAAGAACCATCTGGTCATCATACCCAAATCCAGGGCCAAAACCGTCATTCGAGCTCATGCAGCTGATGATATCATTCAGAGCTTGCAACCTTTGGCTGAGCTCAGCAATCTGAGCCCTCAGCACAGAGTTCTCACTCTCCATCTTCAAATAGTTATGCGTCGCGAGATTAACGTTGTTGAGGATGAGATTATTCTCAGCCCTTAGATTAGCCGTTTGGGCCTTAAGATCATCCAAGTGCTTCTGTTTTCTCATCCTCGATCTTCTTGCCGATTCGCGATTCGAAAGCATCCGTTTGCGCTTTCTTGAGTCGATCGTCGTGTGATTTTCTTCCGAGCATGATCCTGAAAGAGTTGCACTAGGGGAAGCCATTTGTGGTATTTAATTATTCAAAGTTACAATAATGCAAGAAAATTATTATTGTTAAGTAATTTTACAATATAAAGATGAGGTTAAAAAAAAATTGTAAGACTTTTGTTCACAAGAATGCATAAAACCAGTGGAGGAAAACAACGGAGAAAGATTGAACCAAGTGTGAACCACGATGAAGAATATGCGAATTAATGGTGAATCCAGAAAGAAGGATTTCGCTTAGTACAGGCGACATGACCGGTTTCGAATTTCTGGTGTGGTACGAAATTTTCCGGCATGAAATTGCACCTTTTTAGTATTTTGTTTTTAATTTAATTAGGTGATGAAGAAATGATCATGAAAATGGTAATGGAGGAAATTATTCAAGGAGAAAAATTGATTATATGTGAATGGGATGGAAAGAGGGGCTCAAAGCTTGTGTTGGAGGTGGAATTTATATTTTATACATACATAAAAGGCAGAAAATAATAGTAATAGGGGGAAAAAAATAATTGAAGGGAATAAAGTAACGTTTTGTGACAGCAATTATTGTGGTTAAAATAATTGGCAAATGTTGTTTTTATTTGGTGAATTATGTAATCTAAAGAATAATTAAAGTACACTCATTGGTTGGCCGATCTGATGGTATACTGCGTTGATGTGTCTTCGTCACCTTCGGCTCGCCATTCAACTTTTTTTCGTGAATTATGGAAAAGGAAAATGACGGGTGAAATACGGAATGCCATTATTTTAAATTGACATTGATATAAATATTATATATAATCATACAATTGGCAATAGTATATTTTTATTTTCA